TTGAGCTCAACAGTTATAAAGAAATAGATTCATAAAAATTCAACTTTCCGTGGTATATTCTATGACTTATAGTACAACTTCTTTTCACCTTCTTTCTGGCTATAATTAAATCAGGAAACCTATTTATCGGAAATTGAAAGTTTTAGAAACATTATTCCACACAATATAGAATTAAGTACAATTTAAAATTAAATGGGAGTAAGCACAGCAGTAAACAAATTAAGCTCAGTTATAGTTAAAATGGTATTATCCCAATAAGCTGTGACTATTGCAGAATGAATTACCAAGAAATTGAGGGCGAAGTTAAATCGATCTAAAGTTTAAATAAAAATCCAAATAAACTGGACAAATAACGTATATGGATAGTAAGATGGCTTTCAATAGCCCTCTTCTTTGGAAAACCCAATATAAATACACTTAGAAAAAGACCTATGGCCTTAAAAATCGTATATCCCCTATGATCCCTATACCCGTGGGGCAAGGTAGTGAACTCCAGTGGCATAGAGAATCAAAATCAGTACAATATAAGCACTCAAAACGCCTTACAATATATGGGATTACTCATGGTCTTATAAAAGAATCACCAATAGTCTCGAAAACTACTCTAATATAAAATTAAGCAATTTGTTCGTATTATAAACATAAACCAAGAAGCACCTATTTCGGTAGGCTAATTATTGCGAAAAAGGGAAAAGGTAGAGTAAAACTATCACTTAATCTATGTTGAATTATTTTGCTATTCATTAAGGGCTTAACGTGGTTTGCTCAATAACAGACATAAGGTGAGAGTATGAGATGTATTTACCATATTTTGTTTGAGACAATGAAGGACTGCTAGTAGAATTTTCCCACAATGATATGAGTAGAGTTGACGGTTTCATGGCATTTCACATAGCCTTGCTTTCCCGAAAATTGTTCTCATCCAGGGTTGACTGCAGTTTCGACACAGTCTAGGTCATATCAACGCTCTTAGCGAGAGTCGAATTATGACAGTGTAGTATATAATCTAAACTCATTAACCACTCCGTCACTGTCATGAGTGCCCTTGGGTCACAGGGGAAATGTGAATTATAAGGGAAGCCAGGCCTTTTCTCATATCACATTCTCTGGTGGGATTATCGATGAAGCAAACATATTTTTGCTACAACAATCGACTACATGACTTTTTTTCGTATCTAAGTAGGGTTTAGAAGCTAACAGTAAATCAGCTATATGAGATGTATTCACCATATTTTGTTAAAGGTGGTAGTGGAATTTTCCCACAATGACATGAGTAGAAATGGGTTGAATACGTATCATATTACAGATTTACTGAAAGTCTCGAAACTCTACTTACATACGAAAAATAAGTAATGTACACGATTGTTATGGAAAAATACGTTTGCTTAATCGATACTCCCACCAAAGAAAGTGATATGGGAAAATGCCTGGCCTTCTTTGAAATTCGCATATGTCCTGTGACACAAGGGCACTCGTGGCAATACGGCGGAGTGGTTAACGATCAGGCTTAGACGCTGCACCGTCATGGTTCGATTCCCTCTGGGTTGTTAATAAGACCTAGGTGAGATCTAACTACGGTCCACCCTGAATGAGAACAACTTTTGGGAAAAAAAGGCTATGTGAAATTCAATGGAAAGGTTGGCTCTACTCATATCATTGTGGGAAAATTTAACTACCAGTCCCTCATCACCTTAAACGAAATAGAGCGAATAAATTTCCTAAAAGTGATTTACTGGTAGTCTCGAAAGTCTGCTTACCAATTAAAAGAAAAGTGAGTCATTGCTATCGTCTACTTAGACTAATTATCCAAATCAAGAACAGCTGTGGCACATATGCCAAGCTGAAAAACTGCTTAAAAATTGAGAATAAAGAAATAGATTGTGGGCAAGTTACATCTTGAGAATAATGAATAAGATTCATACTTTGATTTTTGTCCTCTGCGACGGCGTTGGTCGAGTCGCTTCATCTCTCGTTCCACTTTACTAGCCAATTGGGTTGACTGAGCAAATCCGGGCAAATCTGAAAAGGTAGAAATATATCATGTGTAAGATAAATGAGGATATAAAAAAATAGCATGCCTCGTGTAGAATTGTTGAGGAAAACAAATTATAAATTTCTAGTAAAATTCGAAAACATACTTATAAAACAAAAAGAATACTATAGGTTCTAACGCTCTTGCATATCACTGGTAATTAGCTTCCCAATGCATCGTTAGGTAAGTGGACCCTAGGTCAAGAAGACTATGCAACTCTATATTACCCTTTATATATATACATCACCAAAAACGAACAATGAACAGGCATAGCTAGATATAGGATGATTTGGCTAATTATCTTGTATACTGCTCTAGCTACTTTAGCTCGAGCATGTGTACGTGCGTGTATTAACGTCTATACGCAATAACGACCCTAAATCAGTGTTCATAAAAGCTAATGTCAGGTTCTTGTCTGGTTTGGTTGATGAGCTTAATCTAACATGTTGGACGACTGTGAGTGAAGTTAGAACCATTATTCAGCAAACAAGTTGAGTCGGCTTTTTTAGATGGCGGCTCAGCACTCTTTCTCCTGAAATCCATCAATCAAGCATAAGTAGTTTTTACTTAACGTTCTACAAGCGTTCCTCACATTCAATATGTTCCCCAATCTATTAATTTAAACATCTTATCTTATCTTCCTTTTAACAACAGACGTACCATAATCAGCCAACTTACTAGTTTGAGACCATTCTAGCTCATGCCCTGTTTCTGCCATGTGTTATACGCCTCATCATGAAATCTATCAGAGAGTGGTTTACTTCATTTAGAAGAGCAAAATTTAATAATCTTTTCAATAAAAGTTGCACAGAGAGTTATACAGGATAAATTCATCACATTATCCTTCCTTAGTTTGTTATAAACATGGTTACTACAACTTACCTTACGCACAAAATTTCTCGTTCATATTGTTATTCCTAAGTTCCGTGAACTCTTATTATGCATCCACCGATATGGTGGTGAGATATGCTGGCCCATTCGACAAAGACTAGGGGAACAGTAAATTGTTTTTAAAGGAAGCTGGGTTGACTATGGTACGTCTGTTGTTAAAATGAAGATAAGATAAGATAAAATAAGATATTGAAATTAATAGATTGGGGAACACATTGAATGTGAGAAATGCTGATAGAACGTTAAGTAAGAGATACTTATGCTTGATTGATGGAGAGAGAGTGTTCAGCCGCCATCCAAAAGATGGCGAATCAACTTGTCTGTTGAGTGATGGATCTAAGTTTACTCACAGTCGTCTAACATGTTAGATTAAGCTCATCAACCAAACTAGACCGTGCCTGACATTAGCTTTTTGATCACTCTGATTTAGGATCGGTATTGCGTATAGACGTTAACACACACACACACACATACACATGCTCGAGCTAAAGTAGCTAGAGCAGTATAAAAGATAATTAGCCAAACTATCCTATATCTAGCTATGTCTGTTTATTTTTTAAATACGAAGAGAAACTGGGTTTCGATGAATCTCCTGAGATAACATTGTTAGGGGTACCTTCATTTCGTATGAAAGTGCATAAAGAAGAGAAAGTTCAGCACGTTTTCACTCGAAACGAGGGAGGAAGTCCCGTGGACTGCGTCAACATGAATATCGTATAAAATCCAACCAGTTGCAGTACAACGAGTTTCATCCGTCCTCATCTGGTAAGATCGACCAACGTACCTCTTCTTCATTCACTTTTATACGAAATTAAGGTCCCCCTAACAATGTTCATTTTTCGTTTTGGGTTATAGATATATACGAGGTAAGATAGAGCCAGATAGTCTTCCTGAAATAGTGTTAAATTCAGACATTTACAAGAATGAGTTCCAGCTCTGATAATGTCCATCATATGATGGCCGAAAGCTCAACCTGTATTCACCGGAAGCGAGGGAAGATGACTCGTTGATTGCGTCAACCTGAACGTCGTACTAAAGCCAAACGGCTACAGTGCAACGGGATTCAGCCTTCGTCTTTTGGTAAGATAAACCCACAAACCCCTTTTTAATGCACTTTCATACTAAATGAAGATCTCCCCAACAAAGCAATATGGCCTACTCAGAGATTTACCACTGTTATACTCATAGCTGATATTAAGCTCTACATTGGAGACAATATTTGAATAAAGATAAGTATGCTTAACCTTTCGTAAAGGTCCTTAACAGAATAGACCGCTTTGGTATCAACCAAAGACAATAAAAGATAAGCAATGAGAAAACACTATAATTAAGACAAATACATTCCATAATGACTAGAAAGCCAAATTATACCGTTATGGGGCTCTGAAAAGATAGGTGCTGTTGCATTAGCCCTAAGATTTGAAGACTCGATTTTGTGTAAAGGACTATCATCCTGGGGAAGCAAAGGCACGCTGCTTTTTCTGGTATTTCCTATTTTGATTTCATCCGTTGTTGATTTGGAGGCTGGCCCTGGCTTCAGGTAATGTGGATTATTCTCTCGTTCTCGAAGGCGATTCACACGAATCTGTTGGAACGAAAAAAATGAGAGCAACGATTCTGGACAGGCAAAATGAATATGTTTTTAAAGACCCATAGGAAATGTATAAAATTACAGAATCATTTCGTACATGAAAAATATAAAAAAATCACTAAGAATAGATCGAATAGCATAATTTAATGGAGCCACAACCTATAAGGCAAGCTGTCATTTTTTAAATGATAGTTTGTGAGCAACTATCTATGAATATTGGGACATTTGAAGCCTGTTCGGTGAGATTAGAGTAAATAATATAAATTAATAGGTCATTAATTCTGTAGATTAAACAATGATGACGCAATGTAATAAACACTAAGATGGAAGAAACGTCATTTAGCCACATTTTTAACAAACTAGTGTGTATTATTCAAAAAACTATGAAAAGTAATCCACTTCGGATAAGGCCTTATGACTAGTAAGTACTTTCGTAAGCAAAAAAACATATGATATACCTGTTCTAACTCTTCAGGCGTGGGATCAGGACGGATGGGGTGGCCAGAAGGATTGAGATCATCAACAAGGCTGCCAAAAAGGCTGGAACAAGTTTCGGTGTCAGGCTTACTTGGGAATAGAGCCGAAGTACCTTTTGCACGACGGCCTGTACGTCGCTGAAAATATCGAAACGGATAAGTTAAAATGATCGCAATAAGACCGAAGCATGAATCTTTTATAAGACTTGAATAAGTTAATAAATTAAATACGGTTAAAAGTGTGCCGAAGGCTTAACCAACCTATAAAAGTTCCTGTAGCCTTGTGTCTAAAGGGCTTTACAATCCAAGGTAAATTACAATGCCAGCATAACCTCGGTCTAATCAACCCCCTTCAAAGTATCCCAAGCCGGATCGTGTACAGCAAGTAGGAACACGGTATAAATCAACTAAGAAAAGTGAGCGTCACTGGTTCGGATACCTTTCCTAAATTATATTTGAAGTGGAACTCTTTAACTTCTGAAATCAATGCGCGATATATAAAACAATTCATTAAATGGTAATACTTTAATTTGTACTCAATATGTGCAATCTAGTTAATGTGCCTAAATTTATATAATCTAAAAAATGACCAAGAACAAGGAAAGTTCTACGCGTTTTTGTTAATCATTTTTAAAAGATTCAAAATTAATCTTACATACAGCAGTATAGTTATATAAACTTTATTCTATGAAATTAAAAACTGGATTTTAAGATAGGACGCCAATTTACGATGAGACAAACTTAATAATGAAGCAGATAGATCCATTTTCAAAACGATTATCGTTTAATAGA